TTTAGTCAGACCTCTGGCAAATGAGAAGAATGCTCAAAGTTTGGCGTGAATTGCCTTTGATTATGTCTTAGTCATGTCACCTAGTTGACTTGTTGAATTTACAATTTAAAAACATTCTCTAAGATACTTGCACCTTTATCCAACTGTTTAGATCCAAGTGTAAGAATTTTTACCTATCACCATCGCGTATCAACTTACCAGATTCTACCTGCTGGTATACCCTGATGATATATATGTGAAATGCTATCCTGGCTACATTTCTTGTCCCTGTTTCACTGGTGAACCTGACAGGCAGACTTTCTATATTTTCATACATACAAATCATGCTAACAGGATGGTGCTGAGAGCAAAACAAAAGCCTGAATTTTGTTTCCTTACTTCTTGTTGAAAGTGATTTATTGATTTGAACTTTTAGGCTCATATTTTCAGTTATATAACACTAATGAGAATGGAGTAATATTCCCCAAGAATTTCCAAATATGTAGCTGTGCAGTTTGTATGAATAAAGATTACGTATCCCCGAAAAGGTATTCTGGTTCACCTTAGGATATATTCATTCATTAGCAACCTCTAACATTGACAGTAATAATTAGAATAAGACAACTTGGGTTTAAATTCTCTGTGTGACTCTTACTAAAGATATAATTTTGGGAAAATCATCTTAGTCTATTTCACTCATCCATTAAATATAATAATAAATAAACTACAAGGTTTTTAAAAAATAAAACAAGTTAATTGGAGGTGAAAGTGATTTTTACAAGCACTGTACAGATATTAGCTGTTGTTATTAAGTTTGAAAACAGACATTAAGTAGGATATAAAGGGGGAGTTTACCTTGAAGACTTCTTTATGTATTCATGTGTTCACATGGTTAAAGTGTATTGATTATCAATTCCGTATTAGGCACAGTAAGAGAGGATGGGACTACAGAGGCCTAAATCTCTTCCCTGTCTGTGTTCACTGTCTGGTGGAAAGACCTCTGATTTGCTCCCAATCATGTCCTTACAATAAAGATTTGTATTTAGTATGCAACACACTGCATTGCAATTATTATCTACATGTATAAACATGATTTTCATTTACATAATAATGGAAGTCAAGGAAATGAGATTTATTGTATGGAAGGTTGATATGTTTAAATTGTGTCAAAATTTTAATGTTTAACATTTAAATTAGGGACAAATAACTAAGAAATAGAATAAAACACTACTGTTCAAGTTCCAAAACCCCATTTCTACAAATCTGCTATGTACCTGTCCCATTTTCTGTCCCTGAACAGCACAGAGGAGAAAGATTTACTAGCCCTGAACAGGCAAGAAGGGAAGTTAGAAGATTCTGCTGTATTCAAATGACTTGCAATGGCATATTGGCGTTCTTGACAAGTCCTTGCCATGGACCAAAGAACTACCTTACTTGGTTTCTTGGTTACTTGGTTGTAAGGAAAGATGCTAGATGCATAGAAGCCCTATGAAACCCACTTCATATTCAGCCCCAGGCAGGTAGAGGAATCGTTATCCTCCCATTCCCATCTGCTGGCTCGGCAATCTGGCAGTGAGGTGGTTCCTTTAGAGCACAGTGCCAGTGGAAATTGGATTTGGATCCCCTAAAATCGGTGTGAAGCAGAAAAACTCGTGATTGTAGTATCTGGATGCTTAATATTGGGCTTCTTGATTGGCTTCAACTAGGGTGGCCACAACAAGTCTACTGGACTAACCCAGGGCTGAGAGGGTGGTCGAGTTGATGGAGTGGACTAATGCCATTATGGGTGTCCTGTTTGTCACAATGGAAAGGCCACACTTACCTGCTCAATCCCCATTTACTTTGTATTCTAGGATAGAGGTCAGGAAGACTATATCCCACCTGCCTATACAGCTGTGGTGTGTTGAAAGACCCCTGGACTTAAAGTAAGAAGATCTGGGTTTGAGTCTCAGTCTGTCACTTATTTTCTGTGTGACCTTGGGCAAGTCACTTCACCTATCTGAGCTTCAGTTTACTTCTCTGTTTAACTGGGAATCTATTATCCGTCTCATGGGGTTGCTGTGAGAATTCAGTGAGATGGTGCATGTGAAAAGTGCTTTGTGGATTGAGTATTGCTCTAACAAAGCCCAGCAGAAGGCAGAAGGAGTAACACTGTGTTTCTTTTTCAGGTATTCATCCAGTGGTTTAAAAACTCAACGAAATACATCAATAAATATGCAACTGCCTTCAAGAGAGACAAACCCCTATTTTAATAGCTTGGAGCAAAAGGACCTGGTGGGCTATTCATCCACAAGGGCCAGTTCTGTGCCCATCATCCCTTCAGTGGGTTTAGAGGAAACCTGCCTGCAAATGCCAGGGATTTCTGAAGTCAAAAGCATCAAATGGTGCAAAAACTCCTATTCAGCTGACGTTGTCAATGTGAGTATTCCAGTCAGCGATTGTCTTATAGCAGAACAACAGGAAGTGAAAATATTGCTAGAAACTGTCCAGGAGCAGATCCGAATTCTGACTGATGCCAGACGGTCAGAAGACTACGAACTGGCCAGCGTAGAAACCGAGGACAGTGCAAGCGAAAACACAGCCTTTCTCCCCCTGAGTCCCACGGCCAAATCAGAACGAGAGGCACAATTTGTCTTAAGAAATGAAATACAAAGAGACTCTGCATTGACCAAGTGACTGGAGATGTAGGAATCTGTGCATTCTATGCTTTGCTCAACAGGAAAGAGAGGAAATCAAATACAAATTATTTATATGCATTAATTTAAGAGCATCTACTTAGAAGAAACCAAATAGTCTATCGCCCTCATATCATAGTGTTTTTTAACAAAATATTTTTTTAAGGGAAAGAAATGTTTCAGGAGGGATAAAGCTTACCATTAAAGCTTTGGGGTAGAATTCTGAATCCAATTTCAGTTAGTCCCAACACTGTCCTCTTTGGCTCTTAGAAGATGTGGGCAATTCAGACCCTTGGCCCCACAAGTGCCAGTGTCTCATTAAAACACACTGGTTTCAAAAAGAGGAGAGCTGCATCCTGCAGGTGGATGCGCCAGTGAGCAGGTGGCCCTTGCCATTTGGCTTGCCAGTCCCAAGCCCTAAATTTCTATTCACCCAATAGCCTCATCACAGGTTATGTCATGTCGAGAAATGTAGTGTTTTCTATTTGATTTTTGGAGAATGCCACAAAAGACTCTGCAATGGGAAGGAGGACAGGAGATAGAAGGAGAAACCGGGGGCAATCTTAACTACTCTTGTGTGCCACCTTCCTCTGAGATTTGAATGCACAGATCTCAGCTGGAGGTATGAAATTATTACAGAAAAAGAGACAAACAAGTCACTATGTCGTGTCACTAAAATCATGCTAATAGAAATGTTTTTCCTTGAGATTGTTTAGAGGCTCTGGAGGAGCGTTTCTCAGTTTTTGTGTGCCTGTGTGCACATGTGTGTGCGAGCGTGTGTGTGTGTGGACTTGCTCACGCGGACACATATGCTGTAAGCACATGTGTTCATTGTGCGTATGTGTGTGCATGTGTGCGCGTATTACGCTTGCTAAAATTTGTTCTGAAACATCAGGGAATCTAATATTCAGAAAAAGTATTTCCCTCTTAGATCTGTTCACTTTAAATTTTTCCATTAAGTATAAAGTTCAGTTAGTTCTTAAATCAAGGTCACTTGCATGGTGGGGTCGTATAAAACTCTTGACACTGTCTAGACCATTTTCTGATGTGAATACTTTTGAGAGGATCAACTATTGGCTCATTAATGATATCAGTATCATAAGGTGAGTTAATTGAGGGTGTGTGTTTATTTTGAATCATGCCTACTTAAATTATTAACACAAGACAATTAACAAATTGACAGTTACCATTTGCTTTCTCATCATCCTCATTGCTATTTATTTTATAGCAAGTCTACTACGTGTGGACCAAGGCTTTGGCTTCTGTGGTTAGTATGGGAAGAATAAATTGTTGAAATAAAAAAACCCAGACTATTCAGTTCACAAGAAGCCCCCCAAGAGAACAGTAAATTGTGTTGTATGTTCATTTGGAATAAAGCAATATTTTTACCACTGCTAAGGTGAACTGAAACCTCTCCTGAAGATTTGTCTGTTTATTTACCCTCACTTTCATGGGACATATGAGGAAATTAGTGTTCACATACCCAGTCTTTTTCCAATTATTGGTGGTGTTGAGTTGTTATGTTTACACTGTTTTAAATAAAAAGGCACCGTATTTGAAAGCATAAAAGATTTCTTTTACTGCAGTTTGGGAAAACCTTGGTTAAAATCTCTTGGTGGAAGACACATTCCATGGAAAAAGAATATAACTATTTCTGAGTCAAGCAGTAAATATATACAGTTCTTATTTCAGGCTAAGTTGTTTCTGTTGAAAATACATTGCAAATTGCTCTTTGGGAACATCCGTTATTAGTAGACATATTGTCATCCAGAAAAAAGAAAGAGCACTATGTATTTATCAGAACTACTTAATAGAAATTCAAAGTCTCAGATGTTGAAACACTGGTAAAAATGCACTTTACATTTAACAAAAGGTTGTGTGATATTTATTATTTGTTCTGTTATAGTTCCATTGTTTTGAATATGGAGGTGATATTGGTAGAATTTCAAAAGATTATTATAAATTTGTAATGTCTAGATCATCTAAGTTCTCATTTAAAAATACATCTATGGGAACATTTTAGAAAATGGTCTTAAAAACTAACAGGTCTATAAAAACCCAATAAGTTGGGCATCCAATATGTCATCGTGTTGAAATTTATCACAATTATCAAACAACTGGAAGGCCTCAAAACTTTGTTGAAGTCAACCTTGTTCTTGTTTTGTTTGTTTTGCTTTTGTTTCTAACTAAAATGTTGTACTTGCTTATCTGGAAGATTGGTTCTGAATTTACCATTAAGAAGTTATATGCTGTGCGACTCACTGCAGTTATTCTAACATATTGTTTACACTGAAAACATTAAGATTGTCAATGAAACTTATGTCTTGGTCCAACCCCTTTTTTAAAAATATGAAAAACTGTATTATGTGACTATAACCCCACCCCCATGTATTCTAAAAAAGCATTAATAATCTGACAAATCTACTGGAAGTCTGATATAAAGTTCAGAGATACAATTACTCCCTTAATTAGTAGTCAAGATAAAGTCCTCCATAAATAATCTGTATTAATGGTTACTTTTTAGTGGTCATTTGTCTCCTTTAGGAATATGAGGCTTTCCTGTGAAAAGTATCCAAGCTCAAAGTTTACACCCTTGGGCGCCAGCTGACAAGTGCTGATGGCATCAGTACTTTCAAAGTGAATCTAACATGGAAAACACTTGGAGCCATCAGTACTTGATCCTTCAAGCTCATGTGCTTATTTCAACAAAATACATTTGATTTTGCTTCATTTTCCTTGTCTTTATTATGTGAATATATATTTGGAAATTTGTAATTAAATACACCACATATTCATTATTTGCTGGAGAATGGATGGTACCTGTTATTTTTTTACTTTGACTCATTTTCTGATATCCCTTTTTTTTTTTTGTAAAGCATATGTTATTCTCATTTGCCTGTGACTACTGTGGGATGCAATTCAAAATATGTAAGTAATCTTATAATGATGAGAAATAGTAGAAATGACTGGAAAATTAGCATCAAAAATTTTTTTCCTAAATTTCCTATGTATATTAAATGCTCTGTGTTTTACACTCTAGCCCAATATCTGCCTTGCTATGGGTTAAAAACTAAATATTTGTAAATTTATCACACCTCCAATGATTAACATTTCTAAGTAGCAATAGCAAGGTAATAGCAAGGTAGTCTGGAGGAGGAAGAGTGTTGTATATAGGACTTCACAAGTTAACCTGTATTGATCAGAGTAACAAATCAGACCTACCAATAAAGAGAACAGAAGAGCCAAGCGGACTTCAAGAGAATGCCCATTGGCTTCTGGATTGAATGACAGCTATAATTTGAGTGGGGCCTCAGGTGCCCATGGCTAAGGCTATCAGTAACCAGATCTCGTATGTCTGATGGATGCCGCAGTCATGCACACCTATCGTGCAGTATGGTGCTATAGGGAGCACTGACTTCCTAAGTCTGTGTGTTGGGGCACAGGGAATAGTGATCCGTTTGATTCCAGCCCCACAAACCAGAAAATACTGCACTGAAACAAGTGCTATGAAGCATTTCTCAAATAAGTATATAACCAACCTAGGAACACAGTAGGAGGGGTGGGATTTTTATTTGATCTTTTGGTACCTGGGAGACATTTTATATATAAAGAATACTTTTTTATTATTATTCAAATGTATAGATTCAGTGTTTTCAATGGATAGCATGTCTATACTGTGTTTGTACTTTTGTCTTCAGAAATTCAATCCTCATCTAGGCAAAACCAGCACAAGGTTTCAAGGTTGTTCTCAGTTTTAAATGCATCCCAATATGCCCTGGGAAATGAAGGCTTTAAATAAGCTTTATCTCATCCTAGTTTATTATTTCTTTCCCTTTTAGAGAAATAGTGAGGGTAAAAGGTGAAATTCACTCCTTTAGAACCACAACATTCTCTTATAATCTGTTTCCTACTGTAACCACACATACATGCGCACACACACACACATAAATGTATATTAAATTCGTGAGTCGAATACCTTAGTAGTTTTACTTTTGTTTAATTTGACGAACATCAAAGTGATTGCCTCATGGAATGCCAATGAAATCAAAGCATTTAAAGACAAGCCAACTTGGCAACATTTTGATCATACAGGCATTTTTCAGTTCCTTCTCTTTCTTAGGCAAGCAGAAATAATCTTGGGTTAGAAAATTCACAAGATTCTAGAATAACATCTCTGCTAGATTATCTCTTAGAAATGAACATCAAAAATGAGTGTAAATGATTGTTGTCCTTGTAGTGTATAATGTTCTCAAATATATTTTTTTATAAATTTAAGCATAACTTCTCCCAGAGGTGCCTAAATAGGTGCCTTTGCTTCTGATACCCACTAAACTTCAATAAGGACAGTGTGTGTGTTGGGGGAAAGGGGATGCTGAGGGATAATGCTGCATACTCCAGTGAAGATAATAGCAGGGGTAACCAGATGTAATCTTGATAAAATAGAGAACAGGTTTCTAGTACTTTCATAATTTTTTGTCATGGATACCTGTATTGATTGCACGTGTACTGTTGACTATGAAAGAATTAATCGTGTGATAGCAATCTCTTATTGTTGGAAATGAATTAGAAAATATTTTCTGTTGAAAGTTGTCTTTGTGAAAACTTATACCGTATCTATACATAAGACTGGTTTCATGACCTCATCTGTCAAATAAGGTGGATGACCATTTATCTCTGATTTCCCTTCCAAATTGATGGCTTGTTATCCAGTCCTTCTAACCCAGACTTTATCTGGTCACCTGTCATCTTTGCACTTGAACACAACTCTTTAAAAAATTAATGGCTGTAAGTCTGTCTCACTAAGGCTCAAAAATAGTTAGAACCTGTATATCTATCAATGGATAATATTTACATTTATAATATCACATTGAATTTCTATGGAGAAAAATACAGAATTGTTTTTGTGGTTGTTGTTAATGTAAATTTACCTCAGACAGGTAATAAAAAAAAGGGATGGACAAGAAAATATCCAATTCTAAAGCTTGAAAACAAAGGCCAAAATTTGCCCCAGATTTTTTTTTTTTAAGAAAATGTGATGAATTATCAAAAACAGAACAAAGGGCTCCCTAGAGAGGGCATGAGACCTTGAAGATGTCCTTCTCTTACAGAGGCAGTGGACACCCCCTCATTAGATATTCACAAATACAAGATATTTATTAATATTCTCAATTATTTGCATATCAAACTTAATATAAACTCTCCTACCAATAGTGAATAAATTATCAGGAAATACTTTCACATCATCGTTTAAAATAATCCTTGGGAGCAGGATAGACAGAAGCAATGCAGGGTTTACTTGCATATTTAATTTTGATTGTAATTGCTGTGTGTGACAAATTAATATTCATGTGCTTTTTCAACAGCATCCTGACTAGCACTAATTATTCCATATATAATGTGTCTTGGTCAAGAACCCAAAGTCTGAATTCCTTAGTCTTCAATAAAACAATATGAAATGTTAAAATACTTGACTCAAAGACAGTAAATTTGAGTTAATTTTTTTTTAATTATAAGAAGTCAGTGTAGTAGTTTACCAAATTGATTTAGAAAAAATGCAGTTTTTACTTGTTTTTGATGTATTTAGAGGTCTGATAACCCTTCATACAACTTTGTTATACACCACACTGATGCTTTCCTTTCTGAAATAAATTTAAATTTAAGGGCTCTGCAAATCACACACACACAGGGCACACAGCACACATGGTGTGTTGAAACTCGATGACATAGATGACCTTGAATTCAGATATTTTTCATAGAAAGTCTATGCATGCAGCGGGAAAGTATAGCGGTTACTGTTTAAGGTTTATTCTTCACAGCCTGCTTTTGATTCTTGTCTTTATCAATAAAAGTCTGGAGAATAGATAACACATTTATTGAAACTGATACAAATAGAACATGACAACTCACCTTATACATTACTACACACTTGCCGGTGGCCACTGTGTATATTTTAAAGATAGCTAGAGAGAAATGCCGTGTCTCTCTCTCTTTCTCTCTTTTTTTTTTTTTTTTGTTTGAGACTGAGTCTCCTTCTGTCACCCAAGTTGGAGTGCAGTGGCGCCATCTCGGCTCACTGCAAGCTCTGCCGTGCAGGTTCACCCCATTCTCCTGCCTCAGCCTCCCGAGTAGCTGGGATGCTGTCGCTCTCTTTTACTTTTTTTTTAATCGTACAATTGTACACACTAAATCAAAATGAGTTCCCTAGTTCTTAATCATTAACAGACTTTATTAATCCATTTGGCCAGGTTTTAAATAAAGAATGTAAATCACACACAGAATACATGAAAAATGATAACCAGAATATTTTCAATTGTCATTTTAAAAACAATTTCTGGGAAACAGTATCTCATGCCTCTGATAACAAATTTGTTTAAAACAGTGTACACGTAGCTCTATTTTC